TATCCTGGAGTACCCTGAATCTGACTGTAGGGACAGCAGGTGTGAAGTGCCTCGCTCGGGCTTAGCACCTCATGTGCAGCTTCTGGGGCCTTTAGAGCTAGGGGGAGGGGGCAGTTGCAGATGCTGTGGCTTCCCCCCAGCTGCCACCCTGCCATGCTTGGTCACCCTGGCTCAGAATGAGGGCCTGAGGGTAGAGAGTTGGGGGCTCAGTAGGGTGAGCCCTAAGATGGGTGCATCCTGCCTGGGCTCTGTGTAGCCAGGTAGCTGGAGTTTAGGAGCCCGTGCCCATTCTGCTAGCCAGAGTCAGAACTTCGGATCCAAAGCCAAGCAGGGTGGTGTATGCCTGTAATCCCAGCACTTGGAAGGCTGAGGCATGAGGATCATGAGTTGGAGGCCAGCCTGGGCTACACAGTGAGACCCTGTCTCAGTAACCAAAACTGCCAAATGGCCTTCTCTTCCAGCAACAGCTGAATGACTCCTCCGTCATCATCAGTGCCCTCAAGACCCATCTGGTATCTGGGTAAGGACCTTGGGTTCTTGTCCCCTCTCTCTCCAAGGAGGCCTCCCTGAGCTGAGGTTTCCAGGTGGGCTGGAGGGAGAGTTTCCTTCCTCTGTTGGGCTCAGTGTCTAACCTGAAAGGGCAGAGTCTTTGGGGCACAGTCAGGTGGCCCTGGAGACAGAAGGAAGGCAGAGCAGGCATGAGACCCTGGCTCTTTCCCAAAGGCAGCCCCTGGAAGAGATCGTCACCTACTACCCACCCATGAAGGCCCTGAATGACCAGGGCAAGGAGGTGACTGAGTTCTGTAACAAATACTGGCTCATGCTGAACGAGCAGGAGGCCCAGCGCATGTATGACAGCAAGGAGGCCAGGACGTGAGTGGGGTCAGGGGTTCAGTGCTGGCGGCCCCCAAGGGCTGGGGCCAAGCTGTGCTCCTAACCCCCTCGGGCCCACCATGCCACCTCCCACGCCCACAGGGAGGAGATGAAGTGGCGGCAGTGGGCAGACGACTGGCTGGTGCACCTCATCTCACCCAACGTGTACCGCACACCAGGCGAGGCCCTGGCCTCTTTCGACTACATCGTCCACGAGGGCAAGTTTGGAGCCGTGGAGGGCGCCATGGCCAAGTACGTGGGCGCAGCGGCCATGTACCTCATCAGCAAGCGTCTCAAGAGCAGGTGATGCATGCGTGTGTGGGTCTGGGCCTGCCACCCCCAGGCCCGAGGGAGACAGGTGGGCAGCCCGAGCTCCAGAGCCTCTCCCCCAGCACCAGGCCTGCGGGTCCGAAGCTGCCATGCCACGCTTCCATCGGCTGCTGTCTCCACACTGGGCCATGCCCTCCTGAGCCACACCCATCCCCCCATCCAGCAGACACCCTCTGGGGTCTCCCAGGGCCGCCCTGCACACTAGCCTGATGGGGCTCCCCTCCCCCACCCAGGCATCACCTCCAGGATGACGTGCGTGAGGACCTCTATGAGGCCGCCAACAAGTGGGTGGCAGCCGTGGGCAAAGACCGGCCCTTCATGGGAGGCCAGAAGCCAAACCTCGCTGACCTGGTGGGTGTCATGGCAGTGCAGAGTGCCCAGGCGGAGGGGCCTGCCTTGGGGGTGGGCACAGGGGAGGGTGGGCCAGTCATGGCCTGCCTTTGGACCCATCCAGCCGTGCTCACCCCAATCTGGTGTCAATAGAGACTCAGCTCAGAGTAGCTTAAAAAAGCAGCCAACTGCAAGGAACTGTACTGGTTCCCATTCCTGACAAGCTCAGAGAAGGGGTCGTCTTCAGGCCTCCCTGGATCCAGAGTGCTGAGTGGCCGAACCAGGGCCCAGGCGTAAGCCTGGCACTGCCGGCCTGGGAATTGGCGTCAGCCTCAGGCGGGCCTGGTTCCCTCCTTGGTCGGGCTTCAGTGCCCAGCTGAGGGACTGTCCTGCAGCCGTACGTCCTGGTTTAGGGTGGGATGCTGGGGTTTCTTCCTCAGGAAACAGAGAGACTTGGGGGGGACTGGTGTCTAGAAGGGGCTGTGGAGTCCAAGGTGCAACCTGCCACCACCACACATGTCCTGTGTCTGCCCTGTGTCAGTCCCATGCCAAAGCAGCCCCTCAGCAGTCACATGGCTCCCTCCACAGGCAGTGTATGGTGTGCTGCGTGTCATGGAGGGGCTGAAGGCCTTCGACGACATGATGCAGCACACACGCATCCAGCCCTGGTACCTGCGGGTGGAGAAGGCCATCGCGGAGGCCCCCACAGCACCCTGAAGGTCCTCACCTGATGGAGAGTAGGAAGCAGAAGACTGTGGGGACCAGGGCCCCAGGGCCAGTGCTGGCAACACTGTTATAGATAGGGGTGATGGGTGCGGGGGCCTTCCACCTGCTGTCTGCCCCAGCCCCAGCTCCCCAGCTGCTGACGCTGACACTTTGGGGCTCCGGGAGCTGGGGACAGGTTGGGGCTGTTTCTGCTCACAGTTGCCTGGAGGGTTGTGGTCACCTCAGGGACTGTGCCCCACCCTGGGAGCTGATCCCTGCCTGGACCTCCCTGTTCTACAGCCCCTGATGGATGGGGAGTGGGGTGGTGTTCAGAGATCCCCCTCTTCTGGCCACCCCTGGGGCACTGTCATGCTGCAATAAAGAGGAATTTTGCTGCTCCCCTGGAGGGCGGTGTGTGGCTGTCACACCCAAGGGCAGGGAGAGGTGAGGAGCAGACACATCACACCTCAACCAGAGGCCTCAGGGCCAGGTCTGGTTGTGCCCCCAGCTGAAAGAGGACCACAGTGTGGGATGATCAGTTTCCTCGTCTGTGTGATGGGCACAGTGATGGTCCTACCTCCTGGGAAGTTGAGGGGTTTGATGACCGCAGAGCCAGGTGCACAGAAGGGGACAGCAACAGTGACACCTCCACTCTGCAGACAGGCCATGCTTCAGGGACAGGACTCTCCGCCAGTGTCACCCCAGACTGGGGCAGGTCTGCATCAGGAAGTAGCCTCAGTGTCTCTGATGGAGGGGAACAGCACAGGTGTCTGTTCCCCAAATTCCATCTCAAGGCTAGGGCCTGCAGGGAGGCCACTGAGCAGAGGTCTCCACTGTTTGCACATTCTACTGAGCTTTAAAAGGGGCCCTAGATGGCCCTGCACTCCTGTAATCCTAGCAATCAGCAGCTGAGATGGGCAGATCCCAGGTCAGAGCCCAGTTCAGTGACTTAGTCTCAGAAGTGGAAAGGGGGAGAGTGGAGCTCAGTGCAGAGCACCCTTGGGTTTGATCTCCAGGACTTAAAGTAATTACTCATCTTCCTCATAAATAACCTGCAGGTGTGTGTTGGCAGCTTGGACAGCAAGGCACTGGGGCAGCTGTGGGGTCGATAGCCTCAGAGTGTCCCCAGGCCACCACCTTATCCTCGCTCCCACGCTGGGCCTCTGCCTTGAGCCAACCTGACTTGGGCAGTATGCGCTGCTCCCTGAGGAGCTGTGCCAATGCACCCTCTGGAGCTCTGGGCTGCTGGAGGAAGGGAGCTGGGCACGCCGGGACCTGCCCCAGTTACCAGCCCTGCTGAGGAGCCTCAGCTCCAGGCCCAGCATGGCCCATGGACCTCAGGGCTCCCTTGCAGAGCAGGAACAAGGCCATGACTACCGAGATGAGGGAGCCCCTTCCCTCCCTCCATCACTTTCCCCTGCCTGCCTCCAGTCCCACTCCCTTCCTTGGTCACCCACTCTTCCAGTCACCTGGTGTTCTGTCCCCAGGCCTGCAGCCCTGCAGCGCTCCCTACTGGCCTCCCCTGTCCCTGTACCCAGCCGGCTTCCCCTTTTTGCTCTCTGGCTTTTCCTGCCCAGGACCCCTGCTGTTCTCCTGCACAAGAGTCTGACTCACCTGTCTGTCTGATCCTGGGGAGGGGCCTTGGTGGCCTACTCTGGCCACTCCTGACCCCGGCTTCCCCTGCGCCTGCCCCCCCCCATGCCACACCGTCCGCTTCCCGGGGTTATCAAGGCGGTGGTCATTTCTTTCCTGTCTGGGTTTGGCAGAAGCTTGGGGTTGGTGTTGGAGACCTGCTGGGAACAGGGCTTCTCCAAGTCCCCTTCCCTGGGGCTCTGCAGGGAGGGGAAAGCTTGCAAGGCCTCGTCACCTAGATGAAGAGTGGACCGGATCCAATGAGTGTGGCTGGAGAAGTGGGCAGGGGCCAGCCCCAGGGTACCCACGGGCGCCACCCCTGCCCTGAGGCCACCTTTTCTCTGAGTGTTTCCACACCATTGCCAGAGGGCGCAAGAGGTTTCGGAGCCGGAAAGGACCCGAAAACAGACCTGGTGCTGCCCCCTGGTGGCCAATCTCAGCAGCGACTTGTCTGCCGTCATTGTCCAGGGGACTCAACTATAAAATGGGTTTAATGTGTCGGGGTCTGAAGATAAGCAAGTGGGGAAAACCTTATCTCCCAAGAGGCCCCAAAGCAGGAGCCCTTGTCCCAGTTTGCCATGCTCTACTTACGACACATTCCCTGTGGTCCTGGCGGCAGCAGGGTCCTGAGTTCAGCACCTTGGGTGGGCCCCTTCCTCTTGAATGGCATCCTCGAGCCCATGGGTACAGGGAAGGTGAGGCCCAAGCTGACGTTTGAGAGGCTTAATGCAGCTGGTTGGGGCCGCTGCTGCCCAGGCACGGTCCCTACTCTGACCTGTTGACTTCCGAGGGTTGGGGTCAGGTCAAGAGCCCTGGTGGGAACAGCAAGACCCGCCTTCCAGGGAGTCCTTGGAGGGCAGCTGCGGGGAGGGTTCTGGTTCGCTTGTTTATGTCAAATGTTAGAATTTTGCTGGGGATGGTAGCGAGTGTGACGTCAGCACTCGGGAAGCTGACGCAGGAGGATCCCGTGAGTACTGGCTTGGGTTCGATCCTCGATGACACTCCCTGCGTACTCCTCGACCTGCCCCTTTAAGTGAGGTGCAGCGTGGGCCCTCTCCCTTCCCCCTCCGCTGCTCCCTCTTCTTGCTCCCGTCTTCCCTCTAAAGCCTTTCCTTTCTAGCCCCCTGTTGTCCTCCAGCATGAGAGGCCAACTCACCTCTGTGGCTGACACAGCGCCCCAAAGGCAACCCCTGAGGTGCCCAGCTGTGATGAGGGTCACTCTGGTCACCTTGATGAAAGGCCAAGGACCTGATCCCTGGGACTGGGGCTGGAGAACAACAGGGCAGCCCACCCCCAACCTCCTGCCCCAGTACCTCCCACCCAAATCACGAATGTAATGAGTCTGCATTGTTCCATTATCACCGCCAGAGGGCGCAAGAACCTGAGAAACGCAGCAAGAGATGGACACAGGACTGTTGCTGCCGCCTTGTGGCCATTTGTAGAATTGACTCATGGCAAAATCCGTCCTCCGAGCCAGATTCCTGGGGGAATGGCCGGTAGATAGGAAGAGGATTCTGCTTCGGTGGCATCTATTACAGTTTCACCTGGCGTGGTGGTGAATACACACCTGTCTGACCCAAGCCCTAGGGAAACTGAGACAGGAGGATCCCAATATCGAGGCGGGGTGACATAGTGGCTTCAAGGCTGGCCTGGGTTACATAGTGAGACCCAGTCTCAAAAATATATAAATAAATAAAATGAAATCGTCTCATTCTGACGGTGCACATAATGAGTGCTTAAAGACTGCAGTTAAGAAATAAGATAATCCAAATATTTCATGGTCCCACTTAACATTTTGGACACACAGCCTTCTAGGTAGTTTTTCACGTAACCCGCATAAGGTACGCACGTACACGGTCACACGCATATACTATCTAATAAGTGCGTGCTTCACAGTTAAATGGGGCCCTCTTTGCTGCGGTCACTGTGCAGGACACTTGACCGAGGTGGCCGCATTCTTCCCAGCTATGTTCTTGCAAGGTCCGCAGCAACTTTCCATTTAGGGAACAAGCATCAGGAAGGTCAGTGACTCACCCAGTGAGAGGTGCAGAACTGGAATCCCGACCTCCAGTCTTTTTCCCCCCCGAAGCTGCGCCCCACCCTGTAGAGGGGCCAGGGATCTTTCACCCTCGCCAATTCTAATGACCCTCATCTTTCACGAGCTGCACACTATATAATGTGACTGTTGCCTTCCATATTTAACAGTGTCCTGAGCCAGGCAGGGTGACCTTCTGTAAACCCAGCACTCAGGAGGCTGAGGCAGGAGGATCACCAAAAGCAAGGCCAACCAGGGCTACATAGTGAGACCCTGTCTCAAAAAAAAAAAAAAAGGATAGGAAGGATTTTCATGGGTTTGACAGGAATGGTGCTTGGGGAGGAGTGGGCCACAGCAGGCTAAATAGTGGCCCCAATATTCAGGTCCTGATCCCTGTCACCTCTGAGCACTATGGCTCCCGTGGTGCAGGAAAGGCGGGTGTGAGATGGGAGATTCCGGGTGACCCCAGCCGTGGTCGGAGTGCCTAGGGAAGCCGGGGGGGGGGGGGGCCAGCTAGAAGTGAGCAGAGTGGCACTGCGCGTGCGCAACAGCTAGAGACGCCCGAAGCGGAGCCTGGTGCCTGCTGAAGCTGCGGGGAGGCCGACCGCATTCTCCCAGGGGCTCTGAAGGGCTTGCTGGCTCTGCACCTTGCTGCCCGATGGGGAACTTGTTTTGGCCTCCTGGCTCCCTCCAGCACCGGAGACGAGCGGACATGCGTCAGGCACAAACCCAAGTGCGGTCAGCGCAGGTCGTCAGGGGCTCAGTGACTAGGGCACCCAAGATTCCAGACCACAAGATGAGGGCTGGGGCTAGGACCCGGGGACCTAGGACAGACCTGGGCCTCTCTGACCTCATTTATCCCCGTAGAATGCCCTCCCCTCTCTGTCCCACCTGACCTCTGCACCTTCCCCACCTTCCACCCTGGCTATGCTGTGGCCTGTGGCAGCAGAGCCAAGTCCACCCGGAGGCAGGGCCCAACTCAGGCGGCCTCCAGTCCTCACTTTTCTCCTACTTCGCATCGGCCCAGACCAGTGAGATCCAGATGGCAGCAGCAGCAACCAGGCAGGGACAGGGCAGGGACTGCCCTGTGCTGGTTACATTTGCACACACTGGACAGAGATCTCTGCCCTCAAGGCCCTAGGCAAGGTCCTGTGTCCATACTCATTTCCTTGAGATAAGGCCTCTGTGTAGTCCAGGCCAGCCTCTCAGGGTGATCCTCCTGCCTCAGCCTCCCTGGTACTGGGGTTTACACGTGTGCACACCATTCTTGCTGTCTATGCTTGTCTTTTTAGGGATGAAATGGAGACTCAGCAATGCAGAAACCTGGCCCAGAGGAGGCCAAGTTATTCCTTCACCTGTAAGCTAATTCTCCAGTCTGAGGGCGGGGTGCAACACTGGTGACCAGAACAGTATGGTGACAACTCTCTGGGTGCTGTAACCGAACAGAAACAGCCCCATCCTCAGTGGGGAGGAGCAGATGAACCAAGGAGTGACAATAAACAGTCCCTCGAAGGAGGACAAACTGGAAAAGAGGCGGGGCCAGTGGAGACAGATGAGATTCCCAGTGGTGACACACAAGTAACAGTGCACACAGCCAGGCATGATGGGGCAGCCAGTAAGCCCCGCACGCAGGGAGGCTGAGGCAGGAGGGTCGTAGGTTCCAACACATCCTGGGCAAGTCAGCAAGACTTAGCAAGACTGTGGCTCAAAATCAAAATAAAAAAGCACAGGGCATGTAGCTCAGTGGGAAGGCTCTGGGCTTCATTCTCAGTAGTAGGAAGGGAAAGAAAGTTGGGAGGGGAGAAAGAGACAGGACAGAGGCGTGAGGAACCGAGGTGCTCACACCCAGGCAGCCCGGTGAGGGTCTGCACCCCGAAGTGTCCTCAGAGTCAATACAACTTCAGCACCAGAGGCCCTGTCGCCTGGTAGCATGGAACTGAGGCTGAGGCCTGGTGGGACCAAGTGGGGGCCAGTGACCCCCCCTGCTGCACGCTGGATCCCAAGAGCTGCTTCCTGCCACCTGCGCTGGACGGGGACTCCAGTGCCCAGGGCCAGCAGAACACTGAGGTGTGGACACTTTATCTAAGGGACATTGTGTCGGGATGCTGTACACCACACACAGGATATAAGTACAATTATTTCCTGCACTAGGGCCTCACCCTCTTTTGTGGTCAGAGGCAGAAAGCAAATAGAGAATGTCAAGAGCCAGAGAAAGCCAGGCACTTGTGGTTCCAGTGCTTGGAAGGCTGAGGCGGGAGGATCACTGGAGACCCAGAGTTCAAGGCCAAGCTGGACAACAGAACGATACCCTGTCTCAAAAAAATGCCAAAAATCCAGCTGTGGCGGGGCATGCCTGTAATCCCAGCACTCAGAAGGCTGAGGCAGGAGGATCGATTCTAGTTCCAGACCAGCCTGGGCTACCCAGTGAGCTCAAAACCAGCCAGAACTGCATAGCGAGACCCTGTCTCAAAAAATAAAATAAAAAGGCTGGGGATTTAGCTCAGTGGCATAAGCGCCTGCTTGGCAAGCGTAAGGTCCAGAGTTCGATCCCTGGTACCACCAAAAAAAAAAAAAAAAAAAAAACAAAGGCAGGAGTGAAGCACTTGACAGCTATATCGGGGAAGAGTCCACCAGTGAGCAGGAGGCAAAGGCCTGGCAGGTTGGGGACCTCAGAGGCGAGAGCCAGGTTCCGTGGGGACCCAAGCCTGTAGCCAGCGGTGGTGGCGCCTGCGGCCAGCCTGGGCTGCAGAGCCAGGCCCTGTTCAGATCAGGGGAGGGAGGGAGGAGAGGGGCACAGCTGAATGCCGGCAACTGAGGAAAGCAGACCCCAGGCACCAAGCACTGGGCCTTGGGGACCCCTCAGGACATGCAGCCCCGGCTCCCCTCACAGTGAGGCCCAGCCGGGCAGGCCAGGAACAGCACTGAAGACAAACCCCGCCACTTCCTGTGACTGCACCTCTAGTCGTGGGTGGGAGGGTCACAGGCTCCCCATGAGCCGAGAAGGAGACACCTGTCTCCAGGTCAGGAGACACCAAGGGCTGTCCCCCACCCCCAGCCCCACCTCACCCACTGATCTTCACTGCAGTACTGTGGATTGAACCCAGGCCCGGGCACTGAGCTATACCCCTTGGCCTTTTCTTTCCTTTCTTTTTCTTTCTCTCTCTCCTTTTTTTCTCTTTTTCCTTCTCTCTCTTTCTTTCCTTCTTTCTTTAGTGATGTGTTGGCAAAGTTGTCCAGGCTGGGCTCACACTGGTGACCCTCCTGCCTCAGCCTGGACCATGTGAATGTCCATTTCTAACTGGGCTATCTTCTTGAGTTCTAACAGTCATGGTGCCTGGAGTGTTGGCTGCTCTTGGCTGCTGCGGGTGAGGAAATCAGCTTAGAGGAGAAGAGAGGTCTGTGTGGGTCGGACTGTGGCTGGTGGGTTCCATTGCTATGGACCTCAGGAAGAACACAGTTCAAAGCTGCTCAGCACCCAGTGTCTCGGTGACCTGCTCCAGCCAGTTAGGCCTCTGCCTCTGCTCAGCCCGTTAGGTCAAAAACTCATCACAGTGTAGTCTACTTGATGAGGTTAAAACTCTCAGGATCCGCTCACCTCTTAAGAGCCCAAATCAGCTCTTTCCTAGCTTGAGAGCGCACATCTGTAAAAATCCCAGCCCTTGTGCGCTGAGGCAGGATGATCTTTAAATTAGAGGCTAGCCTGGGCTGCACAGGCCTAAACAACTACACTGTTTTGAGACCCCATCTCAAATCAACCAAAAAGAGGAAGGAGTCATCTGGAGGCCATGTGAAGATGGCTTCAGGCAAGAACCAACCAGGACTGAAGGACTCAACACTGGGGACCTCACTGGAACACCCAAAATCTAACCCACCTGTCCAAGAGGGAGCACTTTCCCTGAGCCAAGAGGCAGAGGCTGGCCAGGCACTGTGTGATAAAAATGAGTTCATTTCCCAGCATGGTCCAGCGATTAGAGTAGGGGGTAAGTTAACTGGCTTTGGGATCCACTCCAGGGATCCGTGGAGGGCATTTGGGGGGCATGGTCTTGGGGTCTGTCTGGCCCCTCTGGCCCCCTCCTTCCATGTGCCATCCTGCTCTGCTTTCTGGCTGCCAGAACTGAGTGGCTCAGCTTGGTTCCACCATCCTTACAGGTAGTCAACCATGGACTGAAGCCCTGGACTCCTGAAACAATCCTTCTCCTGCTCTGGATGGCGGGTGCCGGGTGTCATATCCCAGCAAAAGGAAAGCAAACACTCACACAAATGCCCCCAACCTCCCAGTCCCAAAGGAGAAAATACCTAGTTTCACAAATATCAGCTCTGAAACAACTTTATTAGAAGGCTGTGTGAAATGACAACTTCCAACCAATTCTCGAACTTGCTTGTTGACAAATTCCAGTTATAACTCTATACTTCTATATAATGATTTTTGCATTGATCTTTGCATCCTATCAAGAGTTTTCTGGTCAGCTCATGGAGGTGCCATCAGGTGGCCAGGTGACCAGCATTATTGAGCACGGGCAGCTGCGGGCCAGGAGGGAGGGGGGTCTACTTCATAGACAGGGGTAGGGGACTCACTGCCCAGTCCGCCAGCCCCCAACCTCTCCCCAAATTCACAGTGAGGCACCTCGCTGCCTTGTGATTCGAAAAGGATGACACAAGGAAACCCCCAGTCCAGAGCTCAATCTGCCCATCAAACCCTGAGATCCCAGCTTCCTGGGGACGAGCCACACCCCGGGACTTGCTCTCTACCACCAAGCCCCCCTTCTTCTCATCTCCAGTCCCCAGAGGAACTTCTTCAGACAGATACAGACATGACATTGGCATGGGCAGGGGTCACAGTGTCCCCCCTTTCCTCCCCATCCCCACAGGGCAGCGATGGCAAGGTACAATCAACCATGAACATAAATATGAATAAAAAAGGAACTTGAAAGTGACAGGCTATTAATTAAACAAATCTATAAAAATAGTTAGAACATAACTCTGTTCAAATAAATACAAAATAAATAGGCTCCAAGCAGTGTGATATGTCGCATCAGTGGAATGTGAGGCTGGTCCCACTTGGCCCACAGGATTGGATACAACCCTGGGCGACAGAGACAGACCGTCACGCCACCAGCCAGCCACCCAGCCTGCCCTCTCCATGCCTCTCTTCCGGGAGCACAGAGCAGGCACAACTGTCCAGCTCAGCCTGGGACAAAACCTTTTTCCGAGTAATACATGATTAAGGCCTTCAACATCTTTCCCTCCTCACCAGGGCACAGGGCTGGCGGCACCAACTCTGCCCTTGGCCTAACTCGAGACCTGGTGCTGCCCTCAAGCCAAGCAGCAGGACGATACGTTTGGTTCTGCACTGATGCCAGTCCTGGCAGAGTCTGGGACCAGGCGGGCAGCAGAGGTCCTTTGGGCTCCAGGCCCAACACTGGCTTCCCCTAAAGCCATGCGCCGCAATGCCAGGCAGCCAGCACTAAGGGCACAAGTGCATCTGGTGCCCCGCTGGTGGGCTCACCACGAAGCAGGCACATGAGCGAGACCCCGCCTCCCCGCACCTGCCTCGGCGCCCACGGCAGCCAGAGGCGGCATCACCTGGCACCGTGCACCGAGGGGGAGGGCACAAGGAGGGGTATGAGCAGCCAGCGCCCACCTCCTGCTACAGCACACCAAGAGGCAGGTGAGCAGCGGGCCTGAGGTGGCCCGGCCAGCCAGAGAAGGACGAGATGGAAGAACTAAGCCGGCCTCCAAGCTAGCTATTTGGCAGGCACTGCAGGGAATGTCCTGTCCCTAGGCCTGAGCGCCTGGGTTCCTGCTGACCCTGGACCCTAAGCAATGTCCACAGGTCTCCCCTGGAAAGGGCATAGGGTCTACCAGGTCAGCAGGAAAGGCCCCACCAGGTGTCTCCACCCTCCCCCATGGCGCGTCCAGAGTTCCATAGCTTGGCTTCGGTCGTCTTAGTGTTGGCACATTCACAGAATGAGATGGCTCCACACCCCGGCCGGGCCAGGATCCAAGAGTCCGCACCCACCCCAACTCTGTCACCGCGACTGCACGCCCAGGGTGATCTTCAGGTTCTCATACACCACGTAGCTGATGCTCACGGCTGGGATCACCTTCATGAAGTTGGGGGCCAGCCCCCGGTACAGCCCGAAGGCACCCTCTGTCCGCAGGATGTGCTTAAAGAGGCTGCTCATGGTCACCTCGGGGGCACCCTCGATGGAGGCTGCAGGGGGAAGGGCACTGGTCAGATCAGATGTCTCTGCCACGCCCCCACCCCAGCTGCCCACATGACAGGGACTAACCCAGGACTCAACTCACCTTGCGCCTGCATCCGGGTCCTGACCAGGGCCAGTGGGTAGCTGGCCAGCTGGCCACAGGTGCTGGAGATGGTGCCACAGGCCAGAAGCACGAACACACCAGGGTCGGCGCTGTTCACCGCATAGCGCTGCAGCCAGGTGTTCTTGAGCGTCTAGGGGAGAGGGCGGAGGGTGAGCCCCGGATGCAACCCCATCACTGGCTCCACACCAGATGCATTTTCCTGTGCCCCCTCCCCTCACCACCTCCAAGTGTGACAGGGGCAGGGAGTAACAAGAAGCCCGTGTATAAACAGACAAAGTGCTGTTTCCTGTCTTTCCCATTCCTACTGGCCCAGTGGGCAGGGAGATAAGGGCAACCAAGGGACTGGGGGAGGACTCGAGGGCCCCGTCTCCTCTGCTTGCTCCCGGGACCTCACCTCGTAGACTGCCAGATCGATGCCTGCATAAGGGATGATCCCCAGCATATTGGGGACATAGCCTTTGTAGAAGGCAGCCACCCCTTCCTTGGCCAGGATCCTGCGGGCACAGTCCAACATGCCTGAGTACTGGCCCGTCTTCCGCAGGGCCATTCGAGTCTTCAGAACCTGCATTGGGTGTCAGGACTGTGAGCATGGCCCACGCTCCTGGTTCCCCACTTGTGCTGTCTCCCGCACCCCAGTCCAGGGCAACCCCTCACCTCCATGGGGTAGATGCTGCTCTGGGCAATGGCCCCAGCCAAGGAGCCTGCCACAAGCCTCTCGTGTATCCTCAGTGTCTCTTGATCACTGCCGACCAGGCGCTTGATCTAGAAAGGGACAGACGGAGACCATGATGCCCGTCCACCTCTGCCAGGCCCCAAGGGGCCCCAGACGTGCTGGCCAAGACCTGGCCGCCATGGTCCATTGTATGCTGTAGCAGAGCGGGGCCAGGCTCAGGTCCCCCTCCCTGCTGTCCCTTGGGCAGAATGACTGGCTCTGGCTTTGGGGACCCCTGTCTAGGGGAAGCTTTTTGACTTCCGGACACCAGGGCCTCACCTGCTCGTACGCCATGAATTTGATAGCCGACTCCGGGGCGATTTTAAGGACATTGATGCCGTTGCCCCGCCACAGGGACCTGGCTCCTCCCTCCCGGATCATCTGAGTGAATCCGCCCACAATGCACATGTTGTTGCTTCGGGAGGCATGGACCTGAGGGGGCGGACACACGGTCAGTGGAACCTAGCAGGACACACGGCCACCAGGAGGACCAAGGGAGGCTGATTCCCTTTAGCTTCAACTAGATTTTACTGCACCCCACTGCATGCCAACAGCACTACATGCGCCCCTGAGCTTTTTTTTTTTTTTTTTTTGCAGTACCGGGAACCGAACTCCCGACCTCACACTTGCCAGGCAGGCGCTCATGCTACTGAGCTAAATCCCCAGCCCGCACCCCGAAGTTTAAAAAAAAAGCCAGCTGTGGTGGTGAAGCCTGGAATCACAGTACTCTAGAAAGCTGAGTCAGGCTGGGCAAATTGGCAAGAACTTGTCCCAAAATAAAAACTACAAAGGGACTGGGGCAGTGGCTCAGAGCAAACACCCTGGGTTTAATCCCCAATACTGCAAAAAACAAAAAGCTGCAAATCCTGAAATGTTCAAACATATAAAAACAGATTAACCTTAAGCCTCCATGAATGCATCCTAGCTTCAAAAACCATCACACTGGGGTCAATCATTTTGTCCAGGGCTGCTTTTAATTTCCCCAATGTTCCAGGAATCCTATCAAGACCACCAGTTGTTCAAGTCCTTTATGTTGAGGCCTCGAAAGGTGGGGTGGTGTCCTCAAGGTCAGAGTTGGGAGAGCAAAGGACAGTTCTTTTTCCTTCTTCCTGTTCTTTCTTTCTTTCTCTCTTTCTCCTGAGGTTTTTTTGGGGAAGGGTCTCACTACGCAGCCCAGGCTAGGCTCAAACTTTCTATCTTCCTGCCTTGGCCGCCTGAGTAATAGAATTACAGATATGCACCATAATCCCTGGTTTGATGACCTCTTTTCTGAGCAGGCACAAAAAGTGCCAGAAGCAAGCTAGGGAGACCAACGATGAAGGGTCACTGTTCGGACAGATATCAAAGTCCAACAGAGCAGAGCATCCTCAGGCAGGTCATTTCGTAATCTCAGCCCTGACATCAGACAGGCTTTTATCTCTGTCCTTCAGACATGGCGCTAGGACCTGGGAGGGCTGAGGGTGCTACTCCCCGTGGCATCTCATCAGATGAGGCTGTCCCCACCACTGTGCTGCAGGAACCAGCGCCTGCCACACCCCCAGGTGCCCCTGGCCTCACTGGTGCACATTCAGCCACTGTAAAGTGATGCCTAGCTTAAGAACCTCAGCTAAAATTAGACTGGCCATGTGCAAAAGGTCAGCAAGGCCTGGATCTGCTGTGCCCTGATCAGGAGGGACTAATTCACGGGGTTAGGGAAGCAGGGGCCAAAGCAGCCTGCAGCCAAAGGAGGGAAGTCAATCCACCAGCGACCCCAGGGCGAAACCCAGGCAGCCTGGCCGCCTGCCACTCACCTGCATGAGCACCTTGAGCCTGTCCAGGGGGGCCGTGCAGGTCCTTGACACAGCCCCCGCCCCGCCTCCTGCCACCAGATGTCGCCACCACATGCCCGTCTGCCTCTCTTCCACGGTGAACTCATCGGGGACTGTCAGGTTCTCACCCACATCAAAGATCTACAAGAAAGAGCAGTGGAGACATCACAGGCCTGACTTACGGCACTTGGTGCCGAGCCAGTGACAGGTGTCACCTCCCACCCTCTTGGAGTGGGTATACAACAGACACTGGGCAGGAAGTACCACACACAGGGCGAAGCCTCTAGGCTTCACAGCTTGGAGAGGCCCAGGCAGAGACCAGGGGAAGCACAGCGCAAAGGACAGGCCACAGGGACAGGCACAGGCCACTCAAAACTGGCTTCCAAGGTAGGTCATCGAGGGCCACCCAGCTAGCCAGGATGACAGGATCAAGCCCAGGGTAAAAGCCCTCTGAAACCCGATGTGTAACCGGACCACGCTGGCAGAACATTACGCAAGGCCTCAGCATACAGGAGGGGTACGCCCATGGCTGCCCTCCCTCTGGGCAACATCCAGCCGGTTCTATCCAGTGCTGCCCTGATCCAGGCTGTGGACCAGAGACTCAGGTCCAGCTGCTCTGAACCTGGGAGTTAGCGGGCACTGCCAGTCCAGGGGAGTGATTCAGCCAGAGGCAGAGGGGACACAGCGAGTGCCAAGAGGTCTTCGTCAAGTATGAAGCTACACTGACAGAAAAATGGGGAGCCTGAGGGCCACAGTGTTTCTGTGGCTGTTTGGAGACAGGGGTCCTGGTACGCAGTTCCAGGCCTTGAACACACTATGTAGGCCAGACTGGCCTCAAACTTACAGAAATCCTCCTGCCTCAGCCTCCCAAGTGCTGAGATTACAGGCATGCGCCACCATACCCAGATGCTATTTTTTTCATAGGGAGAAATGGCATCAAAAAACAGGTGAGTGTAGGGACATCTAGTAGCTTTCCATGTATGTCCTCTGTAGCATCATTTCTTGCCCTGCCCCTGGGGGAAGGATCACAGGTTTGGGAGGTCAAATACATAGTGGGAAGGGATGTTTAGCACACCTAGGAGGCATAGGCACTCTTGGCAAAGGGACCCCATGCCCAGGGAGCAGTCAGGTTGTTCGGATTGGCCAGTGTGCAGGAAACCTGGTTCTGGTGGGCAGGCAGAGGGCCAGGGCCGCCGCGGTGGGTACAGGGCAGAGGGCACCCTTACCGTGGAATGCTTCCAGTACAGGATGATCTCGGGGATGTTCTCCACGGGGTGCAGGAGGTGATAGTCCCGCCACTCGTTCCAGTCAATGGTCATCGTGCCATTCTTATCCATGCTGCAAGAGAAGGGCTCAGTCAGCCATGGGTGACGGCGCCCCAGCTGCATGGCCCCTCTCTGGGCAAGCCAGAGACGGACAGTCTGGCTTCAGAGGAAACCACAGAAGGTGGTCCCCAGAGAAAAGTCAAGGTGTCTCCACCTTGCACGAGACAGGGATATATTAGGATAATATATATATTGCATATATTAGGGGGATCTTATTTTTATGAGTTTTGAGATAGGTCTCCCTATGTATTCCAGGCCGGCCTTGAACTCACTATATAGCCCAGGCTGGCCTTGAACTCATGGAGATGCTCCTGCCTCAACCTTCTGATTGCTGGGGTTCCAGGGGTGCACCACCACACCAGTTTAGATCCCCGTTCTGGCAGGGAGGGAGGGAGGGAGGCGTTGAGTGGGGAAGGGAGGGACACGCATACTTACTAGGTGACAGGGCCCCAGAAATGGCCCGTTCGTATTCTGACAGACAGACAAAGGAGGATGCAGAGGAGAGAGGAGAAACACAGATAAGTGCCCGGCAGAGTTAGTGAAGCAAGCACAAGACACATGCAGACGGCGGCATGGCCCAGCGCGAGAGCAGGCCCCGCAGCGATGGCCAGGGAGCAGGTTCCAGCCTCAGGGGTCTGGAAAGGCTCAGCCAGGAAGGACAGCAGTACCTGGGGCTTCTCAGGAGGGTTTCCTGGCAACCACCACCCCCGGGAACACCTCACCAGGACAGTGCGTGACTGGGGGTGCTGGGCAGTCTAGACAGTGAGAAGGGGGTGGCAAGGAGCTAGCCCCAATCCAGGGCCACATGTGGTGCCAAACCCTTCTCAACCATGTACAGAAAGTATTCTTGGGACACCTTTCAGTGACTTGAAATCACCCCAACTAGTCTTCTCTTTTATTTTTTGGTTTTTGAGTCAGGGTCTCGTCATGCAGGTCAGGCTAGTCTCGAGCTCACTAAGCAGGCTAGACTGGGCTCAAACGCATGACAATCCTCTTGCCTCAGCCTCCCAAGTGCTAGAATTATAGACATGTGCCACCTTGCCTGGCTTCCCTCCAACTAATCTTTTCTTTCTGGGTCACTGAGGGCCTAATTCCCTAATTCCAGGAGACCTGTGGTTGTTCCAGGGCAGCTGGGCTGCATAGGTGGGACGGCTGGCCTTGTACTGGGGTTACTCATTTATTATCCTTGGCAACCGTGAGAAGGCACAGTTCAGAGAGCAGTCCACACAGCCAGCAGCACCTCGGGTTAGGCCAGAGCTTCCCCTTTGCAAATACAGCCCAGGCCTGCCGGCCACACACCTCTTAAGGATCTTCTCCGCCTGCTGTTCGGAGATCTTGACTCCCAGGTCCCGTAGGGACTGCATGATCTCCTGGGCGTCGATGCGTCCTGCAGCAACAAGGAGCGTGAGCAGAGCCAGGCATGTGCAGAAGCCCCGGCGGGGGCAGGCTGGCCAGGCTCTGCAGTTCAAACTCACCATCGTTCTTCTTGTCCAGACTCTTGAACACCAGCCTCAGCTTCTTCTCATGGTCTTGAAGGTAGTGCACAAACTCTTCAAAGTCCAGCTGCCCATCGAGGTCCTTGTCACCAGCCTGAACAATTTTCTAAAAAACACAAGTGAGGTTTTGTGTTGTAGCTTATGCTCACTCTCGCCCAGTTCTGTCCCCACATGCCACGGCCACCGCGCAGGTCTTCGAAACCTGGTCCAGACCCCCGCTCAGGCCCACCCTGCATTCTTGACAAGCAGTGAGGCGAGAGGGCCAGGAGGATCCTTGAGACAGAGGTCAGCAGGGCTGCCTGGCACTTGTTCCTTCTTAGAGTTCCCAAGAGTGGCTTGTCACACTGCCCGGTCAGCTGCTTGGTGCCCCAGCAGCCCTGTCCCCAGTGCCAGGCCCTGGCCCCATGCTCCTGGTGGTGAGGTGGGACAGGTTTGGAGTCAGGTTCCCTCAGAAAGCCTGCAGATGCTCTTTTTGTCCCCACGGTGGCATTGGCCCAAGAACAAGCCAGGGCAAAGGTGCAGGGACAAAACCCACTTGGCAGAAACGCTGCCAGGAGCACTGAGGCTGCAGGACAGGCAGGAACCAAAGACAAATGATTATTCCAAAGCCTGTGCTGATGCCACAGCCACCCAAGGGTCCCAAGGTTGCCTGAGGATGAGACCAACTCCAGCCGTCCCACCAGGCACTGTACACCTGGGACAGCTCAACTCATGGCTGGTTTAGTGATCCAAGGAGGCTTTAAGTGACTGCTTATTCCACAACCATAATGCCAGTACTCGGGAAGCTGAGGCAGGAGGATCGATGCAAGTTTGAGGCCAGCCTGGGCTACACAGTATATTTAAGGCCAGCCTGAAGTACATAGTGTCTCAAAAAAAGAAAAAAAATCCTTTGCTCTGAGCTTCCAAAACTCCTCTGCCCTTTGGAGATGAGTTCCGTTGTCCCCTCACGTGGAGGCCACGCACCATGGGCCACAGCTGTGCCCCACACTTTCTGGGATTCTCTCAAACAGCTCCAGGGCCCATCGTTTCCCTGGTTACACAGCTGGCACTCAGACAGGCTGAGTTCCCCACGAGAGGTCACACAGCCACACGTGGGAGGCAGAGGACACCAGCCAGGCCTGCTGGACGCCTGAGCCACCTCCCTGAGGATCCCATTGCCACCTGACAGAGTAATCTCAAGAAAATGGGCGACAACTGTGAATCACCCCAACTTAGCAACACCCTGAATCGAGAACCACACTGCTCCTTAGAGGTAACTGTGTCCCCCAGTCCCTTGTCCAGAACCCCATTCACTAATACAAAGCAACACGGGTTCCAAAGTCTTTGGAGGATGTCGCGTTTGGAAATCGACAGTGCCCTTCTGAGACATCGCACCAGACCCCAGGCTGAGGGAGGCCTGGCTGGGAGCTCTGTGACCTCACTTGATCGAAAGCGCTGGGTGTGGGGTGCGGCAGGAATGTAGGGCAGCTGCAGTGCATATTTCATCTGCTATCTGGGGTTACGTTAACTTCCTGCCAACACTTGTGCTCTCCGCCAGAGGGATGGAAATTACACAATGCGGCCATCACGGAAGATTCCTACAGGACTGGAAGCAGCGTGGAGGTGTCACTCGGAGAGACCCCCAGGCTGCCTGCCCCAGAACACGGAACATGCGCAACAGTCCCTCTCATGGCTAATTTCAAAGTGTTCTCCTAGAGCCTGCTTCCACTCCAAACCACTGGGCCAGCTTCCTGCTCCTGTCCTGGAGTAGGCAGCCATCCGATCTCCTCCATCTCACCTGAGTGACTCCCTAGAATCCCAGCCTGCCTTCCATAGAAGTCACATGAAAACCAGTCACCCCTTCTGCCGGCCTGCTGGGGGAAAAGCTCCACCTGTCAGACATTCTTGCTCCTGGGTAAGGGGCATAGCCTCTAATGCCGCTCATCCATTCACTCAACAAATACCCCCCCACACTGCACACCCGGCGCCCCTCACCACCCCCGCCCCTGCCCCCACCCTGCACAGACCTGCTTCCACTGGCGGTAGGTGGAAAACTCCTGGGAAGGGATAAAGACACTGAGTTTGAAGATGGACTTGAGCTCGGCGGGAAGCCCCTTGGACTCAAAGTACTGGAACTCAGTCTGGGTCTCCCCGATGAGCGGCACATACAGGCACAGGCAGAGCATGCTGACGGAGCCGGCTCGGGCGGCCAGGGGGAGCGAGGTGCTGGCAGCCTTTGGATGGGAATGCTGCCGGTTGGGGAAATGCACGCTAGATATGCCAGACCTCGCCTTTCATTGGCTGCTTAGGCCCTGCCCTTTTACTTAATTGAAAAAAAAAATCCACCCAGTGTAGAGGAGCTGCCAGCCAATCAGCGCTGCCCTCAGCGGACAGCGGCTTCGGCTTCGGGTTGCTCAAGAACTCTGAGCAAAGAGCAGGACTGACGTTATCGCCACCCGCGGTGAACTCTGGGAGTGGGGCAGTGGCAGGTTCAGTCTCGAATCCTGGTACCATCGCCAAACTAACCTTTACCCCCTGGCTGCCAGCACCTCCACATGGACAAACAGCCCACAGCCTGTTTTCACACAAGGTCCCCAAATGCGTCACAACATGTAATGGTTTTCTGCTGTTAGTACATCATTCCTAGCAGAAAAAAAAAAAAAAAAAAAAAAAAAAAAATCAGAGGATGAGCTCTGCGGTGTTGCACACCTGCAATCCCAGCTCTGCAGGAGGCTGAGGCAGGAAAGATCGCCAAGTTTGCAGCAACTCAGCAGGACCTGGTCTCAAAACAAAATGCAAAGGGCTGGGGTTGCCCTTTGCAAAAATCACATGGATGTAGAGTACCTTGAAGCCATAAGAGCTGAAAATGGACAGTGTAACTGTGAGAGAGGGTCCTCAACTGTCCTAGGACCTGGACCACACTGTGGGCCACTCATCTTGCAGGGGCTGCCTGGCAGGCCTGACTTTCCAGGTTGACATCTGCTCCGGGTCCCCAGCCCAGCCCAGCCTAGCCCACGGGCATCCAGTTCCTGTGCAGCTCACGGGCCACTGTGACAGAGCACCCAGAAACTAAGCACAGCCTGCAGGCTTCCCTTAAACTCTAAGTCACCCAGGACTGGACAGTAGGCTGGGAGAGGGGGCACTGTGGGGTCCAATGGTCTCTACGGAGGGACTCCCCAGATGCGTGAACCTGCACCTGCTTCTAGGCTAGCAGCACTGCTGTTCAATACAGAAGCTTTTGAAATCAAAGTAAAATTAAAAACTCAGCCAGGTCATACTCTGTAGCCATGCGTGCATAATAGCAATAACAGCCGCTTCGGTGTTGCAGAAACTTACCCTGGGCTACCCAGCAGGGCTAGGAAGGCCTGGTCACCTAAGGACAAGGACAGTCCTCCCCAGCCCAGCCAGCATCCCCCCTTTTCTTCCTGGCAGACTACGGAGAAGGAGCCTTGGTCAGAGTGGCCGAAAGAACAGGATGGATTCAAAGGGTAGCTGAAAAGGGTAGTTACCGGCCAGGGATTTAGCTCAGTGGCACAAGTGTTTGCCTAGCAAGTGCCAGGTCATGAGTTCCATCCCCAGTACCAATAAAAAGATGGTTACCATTTGGAAGTAACTATATGAAAAAGACCTGTGAACTCACAGCAAAGCTTTTTAAGAAGCTCTGGAGAGGTTTCTAGAATAAGATGTAATCCAGAGGCCATAAACAAGGACCGAAAGTTTTGGCATCTGGAGAGAGACCTGGTGATGACTTTGTAAAAGCAAGCCCTAGGCTGATGATCCAGGCAAACTGCCGGAGCTGCCCAACCCAGACTATTTTGTTCTGGGGCTATTTTCTCCTCCCACATGGGGTCTTGCTATGTAGTTCAGCCTGAATTTGAATTCATGGTGTAGCCCAGGCTGGCCTGGAACTTGCAGCAATTCTCCTGCCTCAGCCTCCCGAGTGCTGGGATTACAGGTCTGGGATACCACACCTGGCTTTAAGACACATTTTATCTCCACTGCGGGAGTCCATGAAAGCAGAAAGCTACTGGTTTGGGCCTTTGTGTTTCCTTTCTTGCTTCTAATCTCTTCCTGGATTATACCAGGGACTTCATTAGAAGCCCTGAACGCTTGCTTAGCTAGCCTCTGAGGCCCCAAGTACACACTGGGTCACCCTCTGTGAGGACAGTATTGCATGCCTGCAATCCCTGCACTTGGGAGGCTGAGGCAGAAAGAACACTGCAAGTTCAAGGCCAATCTGGGCTACCTAGTAAGTTCAAGGCCTAGTTTGAACTACATACCAAAACCTTATCTCAAAAAGCCAAAATAATTTCTCTAAAAAGAGACACAAATCTGTTAAGTGTCCTATTTTAGGGAAGACTACAGTTTTTCCAATACAAAATAGCCAACATGTTGCCTGGATAAATTGCTTGACTAGAGATGTTCATTTCCTAATAAAGTATTCTTTTTTTTTTTTTTTATTGGTACTGGGGATCGAACTCATGACCGCCTGCTTGCAAGGCAGGTACTTATCCCACTGAGCTAAATCCCCAGCCCATTCCTAATAAAGTAGTGGACACAGTTTTGCTAAGAGTAATTGTTCCATTGAGGTTTATAGTATATATAAAACAAATCTGAGAAAAGATTTGAAAACAATCAAGCCAGGCATAGTGATGCATGCCTAGAATCCCAGCACTTGGGCAGCTGAGGCGGGAGGATCACCAAGAGTTCAAAGTCAGCCTGGGCCAGGGATTTAGCTCAGTGGCATAAACACATGCCTTGCAAGCACGCTATCTTGAGTTCGATCCCTGGTACCAAAAAAAAAAAAAAAACACAAACAAGTCAGCCTGGACTACATTGTGAGACACTGTTTCAGAAAAAAGACAGAGAGTAGTGTTAAGTATTATCACACAACTACAGGGACAACTGTTTGCTAACAAAAAAAACAATGAACTTTTCCCAACTCTTAACAACCCTCTCTAACCCACACAGTGCAGCAGTTTCAGGACGCCTGGAGAAGTTCTCCGACTGGCTCGGCATCTGTCTGTGAACACGTCATTTTACAATGTTAACGTCAATCCTAGTGCAAGGCTCCTTTTCTTTGTTTTTGCCACTGTGACTGGGATCCACAGTGTCCTCACTGGGTAAAACTAAACTGATGTTTGCTTACTTATTTAAACAACCCATCCCCTATATTTCTCGAGATATTCAGAACTCCACCTTCACACAGTACCAAGGATGCTTCCCAGACAGCCCAGGGTCCCAGGCCAGGAACACTCGCACCCTGTGAGGCCCAGTGGAGTCAGTGCATATGCCCTTAACCTCAGCGCCCAGCACAGCGGCCCTGAGAGATAGGCCAGACTTGGGCTCAGGCTCACAGCTAGGCTGGGCTCTGGTGACAACATTCACTTAAAAGCATCCAAAACCAACTCTGCCACAAGAGGACTGCAAAGTCCAGTTCCAAACGGTGCCGCTGGAGGGAGGAGGGATGTGGGAAAGCGTAACAAGCAAATCTGGTCTTAGCTAAGGTTACTGACTGCCTCTGCAACGACACAATGCTTCACGGACGCCAAGCACAGGCCTGGCTTCCAGTCCTGGCTTCCAGCTCCCAGCCCTGGACAGTGCACATTCTCCTCGGCTCCCTTCATTCTAGTTCTGCCACCCAGATCTATTTCCTCCTGCTCCTCTCATGTCCATTGCCCACGCTGGGCACTCAAAAACGCCAGGACGCTGTGTCCCTCAGAATTTAGTGGCATCAGATTTCTTTTCATCTGTGAAGAAGCAGGCCCTCCCTCAAGTATCTCTTTACAGACAGATAAGCTTTCCTCATCCTACCACAAGCCCCCAAGCAGGTACTTCCTGTTAGGACCAGAATACAATGAGTAAGAACAGGGCCAACGCCTATAGAAGCCGCAGCATCAGGTGAGACCTCGCATCCTCCCCACCCCCTCCATGGCTGACTCACTGCGAGCCAGAAACATTAGTCTATGAAGCAGCCTTGAAAGCCCCACCCACCCCGAACCCTCCACTCTCATTGGTTACTGTGGCTACCGTATCATTTGATGACCAGGTTGCCATGACAGCCCAGCACAGCCGGTTTCCAGTGAGACCTGCTTACACTTGGCAATTACACACACAATGAGCCAGAAGCTCTGCGCTGCAGCGAAGCCAGCCCCTCAGGATCAGAGCAAGCTCCGGCGCCACGAGGCCACCTCCCACTCCAGACTACGAGGCTCCCTTGCTCGGCCGCAATTAACTGGAAGCCGAAGATAAAGGGGGAAACTGGCGCGGTTCCTGGAATGAAAGCCTCCAGAACCCGAATCACAGAGACACACATTTACCTAGGGGAAGTGAGAGCTAAACGAAGTAGGGCTGCTAGTCACCGGGGAGCCTGAGAGGTCAGGGAACTTCCAGCTTCCAAGAACTCTGGAGGCCTCTAGCTGAAAAGGGGTAGCCTCGCCTCGGGGACAGAATCTCATACTCGCTGTCACCGCACAAATCCACCACCACCCCCCTTCCCTTCTCAAGGGTCTACAAGCCCACCTGGGCGCTTACTCACCTTCAAACCAAACCAGCTGCTCCACCTCCTCTCACTACCCCAAGCCCCAGCAACCAGCCAAGTAATCTCGCTGGTGGGAACCGAGCCAGGAACAGTGTGGGTCCCTGGGTCTGCAGGCCAAGAACTAGGCTGCCCTGGACAGAAAGCCCCACCTGAGGTCACTCCTGGGGGGAGCTGGCAAAGGGGGCCTGTGTGAGCCTGGAAAATGGAGCGGTTAATTATTACAGTTTTTTTTTTTTTTTTTTAAAGATGGGAGTGCTTTTAAAAAGGCAGACAGCTAATTCAGGCCATGAGGCAGCCAGGGCTGTAGATAAAACTTCCTCATAAAAACTAGCCCTGCTGCCATTTCTAATGGTGTCTAAAACAAGCGAAAGGCAAAGGCAGAAAGTGACACTGTGGTAGTACATTAAGTGCGCATATCTCAGATTCTCAGATGCCACAGAGACTGAGGACAGCAAACAGCCCAACCCTCAGGATTCTCCTCAATGTCAGTACCCACAGTAACCGCTAAAGTTGTCCCTGTAAAAGTCACTCTTAGTACATAGATAGATACTCATTTATTTCTTAAATGTAGAGATTACATCCAGGGCATCTTCAGTGTACCAAAAACAGGGTAGATAGCTTCTCTGTCCCTCCTCTAAGGAAAGAGAAAAGATTCAAAATAACCGAAGCTCAGGAAGTGCTCTACGCTAAGAACTCAAGGAGCCAAGTGCACTGCTGCGAGTGCACTGCTGCGTAAGGACACGACGGAGACAGAAGGGGAAACATTCCCGGCAGACCTGGGGTTTAATCTCAGCTTCACCTGACCTCAATTGCTTACCCCTGGGTAAAATATTGACCCTTTTGCACCTCATTTTCCCCACATATAAAACTAAAGCACTGTCACTCACCTTGGCTCTTGTGAAGCCCGGATGGGGCAGCCATGCTTGGGGGTCACCAGGGACAAAGAGCCCTGGCACTGGGCAGACCCCAGGTAAGATTCCACCCTCTCTAGGACATGACCCCATCCCTTCCCACTTCCTCTGGGACCCAAAAGTCAAGAGAATCCCACTGAGGCAAGGGGAGTGTGACCTTCAACAACACCCACAAAAAACTATCCCTGGCTAGGGCCACTAGGTTGGACTTCCACAGCAACTCTGTTGTGCTCTCCGGATTGCTCAGATGAGCTACCACTCGGCTTTAGTTTGTCTCTTACTTTCAGATGGCTTTCTGCCAGCAAGCTGACAAATCCTAAGGCAAGTCTATTGAAACTGCTCTTCCTTTTTTGCTCTATTGCATTCTGTGTGGTCCCAAGGGATAAGAAAGCTTTCATGGGAGCCTTGGGAGATTCTGGCTGAATCAGTGGGCTTCTGTTCATTGCCTGACACATCTCTGACCCTCACTACCAAGCTGATGTTTTTAAAGTAATTCCTCTCTTTTTTCCTACACCCCAGCTTTTTTCCCTGGGGCGGGGGGAAATGCCCAGCCCAGCCTCTCAGGTGTTGTTACCTTAGGAAACTGTTCTGCCGGTCCAACCACCAGCAAGATGGTGGGTCTCTTTTCCGGGGCGTCAGCCCTTCCGTCCTGTTTGCCCAGAAAGCCTGGCACCTGGTCTCCCTGGATGCCTTTAACTCCGTGATCGGAGCCCTCTCTGGTGCCCTGGCACCCAGCCCTGGGGAGGAAGCCAGACAGAAAATGCCACAGCACCTGCAGCATCCCGGTGTCCTCCCAACGCTGCCGATGGTGGCCTGGTGGCCGCTGGCTTTGGAGGAATGAGACCACAGTCCCTAGGGTTTCTGCTGGCACAGTTGCCTGGACGACCGGCCTGGGGAGCACTCAGGCTGGGAGCTCCAAACGCAAAAGCTCTTTCCTAATGCTGCTGTCGTGCCTGGCCTGAGAAGAAGCTGGCTCTGGCTGCGGGCAGTAAAGACTGCAGCAGGGCTCTTCAATAAAACCGCACTTCTGTAAGTAGCCAGGGAGCAGAGCTTTGACTTTTTCGTTTCTCAAAGGAAAACGCGATATCCAAGCAGACCTCTCCCAGAGGCAGAAGCAACTTGAGAGCTGCCATTCAGCAGTCCTAGCTCATCACCCAGCGCAGCAGCGAACAGCATCCAGTCTGCATTCTCACTGCAGCAGGGCCCAGCCAATCCGCTGCGGTGACACTACCAAGTTCCACATCCCGGCAGCACGAGTCCTCCAATCACAGGCGGCGATCCCTGCCCGCAGCCCCGGGAGTCCGCAGAGAGGTGAGACCCAGCTCCAGATAGGCTCAGCTGGTGGAACCTGCAGGAGCCGGCTCTCTGCTGCGGCAACTTCCTGCTCCCCACCGGCCCAGGAGGATGGTCACCAACTTTACATGACCAGCAGCCCTTGGCAACACCTTTTTTGTTTTTTTGTTTTATGAGACAGGGTATTGCTATATATTCCAGGACAGCCTTGCACTCAAACTGTGTAGCCCAGGCTGGGTTTGAACTCGCGGCAATCCTCCTGCCGCTGGCTCCGAGTGACGGGATTGCACTGCACGGCCACAGCCCTCTCGGCAACACTTCCTGAAGCAGTGACACTCCCTGGTTCCACGGTCCATTTCCTCAGAGCTGTGCACTGCAGAACACCTGCATGTCACAACTACTTCTCTCACGTCTCCCTATAGACTGCCAGCTACTTGGGGACAGGGACCAACTCCCACACAAAGCTCCCTCTGCTCCCTAGAACCTGGCACAGATGAACTCCCCAGACCAATGAGTAAATGCGGCTGTTTCCCCCAAAAGACGGGTCTTATATGAATTTTTTTTTCCAAGACACAACAGGGGATTATTTACAGGGAATGTATTTTTTTCATGTACAATCATCTACATTAATTCATTTATTCATCTACAAAAATCTACATTTATTCAAATATGGTCGCGTCATCTTCTAGAACATCATCATAACTCTACAAGCCCTGAATTCTGGCCTGAATTGCTGGCGATTCCATTTCCAACAGCGCTGTCAGCAGCAGTCTCTGAAGTCCAGCGATAGAGCTCTCCTGAAATGAGCGCTTCTTGTTCGTGCAGCCTGCTCTTAGTGCACTGGGAACAGCCATCAGTGACTTTTCCCCAAGAATTCCCACCACCTCCTGCAAGCTGGGGCTTCACAAAATTTCCATTAAATCAGATGCTATTTGCAGGCTTAATTTTGGCAACAAAAAATGGTAGTTAAGAATGAGAGGCTGGGGCTGGGGATTTAGCTCAGCGGCATAAGTGCCTGCCTTGCAAGCAGGCAGTCGTGAGTTCGATCCCTGGTACCGATAAAAACGAAAAAGACAAAAAAAAAAAAAAAAAAAAGAATGAGAGGCTGAGGCCAGGGATTTAGCTCAGTGGCACAAGCACATGCCTGGCAAGTGTGAGGTTCTGAGTTCAATCCCTGGTACAAAAAAAGAAAAAGGAAAAAAAAAAAGTTAAATAATGAGAGGCTGGACATAGTGGCACATGCCTGTAATTCCAGCACTTTGAAGGCTGAGGCAGGAGGACTGCCACAAATTTGAGTTTATAAAGTGAGTTGTAGGCCAGCTTGAACTGCATAGTGAGACCCTGTCTCAAAAAGACAAAATAATAATAATTTAAAAATTTAGCCAGGGATTTAGCTCAGTGGCATAAGCACCTGCTTTGCAAGCTCACGGTCATGGGTTCTATCACTTGTACAAACAAAAAGTAAAGTTAAAAACAGAAACAAAAAAAGAATCACAGTGCACACAAAAGTAACAAAAAAATTGCAGGCACCAAAATTTAGAAAATGTTTCTTTATTTCACATGAAGTACATGCAGTATGTCCATCACGACACATGGAAAATTACAAAGATTCATCTTAGACATAACCATGTCTCTCCGTTTATCAAATGCACACATTATTCATGCATTGTGCCTATATTCGGGTCAGTCATTTGGCAATAAATCTCGAGTTCCACTTACGTTGGCATTTACCTCTCCTCCAAAGGTGTCCACTTGGGTATTTACTAAAAATTATATTATCATGTATTTTAAGTACTGTCAATAATATTATATTTAATTATATAAATATTTTTAAAGTAAATATTGTTTTATAATTTAATAAATCCATTGCATATTGCAACAAACACATTAATGCGTCTGTTTGGCTGACAATCTTAACTGAGGTTTATTTTGAGGGGACGGGCTTATATTAGAATCATCCTGAAAATCATTCTAGGGCTCATTTTCTAGTTAGGTCTTATTTTCAGGGAAAAACAGCAATAAATTCAAGGCTGGCCTAAACTACATAGCTAGACCCTGTCTCAAAAAAAAAAAAAAAAATGCATGAGGTTGTTTTTAAGTTTGATATATGAAGACCACACTGGAAAACTTAAGAAGGTTTGGGCAGGAAGTGCATTTGGAGAAAGGCAGTTGGGAGATTAGTTATCATCCTGTGAAACTGAACTACAGGCATATAGGACCCAGGTATACATAAATAAAAAAATTTAAAAAGCAGCACAAGACCAGGAAACCATAGCTGAGACACAGTCTCCTAATGCATTTTTTGAAAGTGGAGGCAGCTCGTGCCCACCAGCCTCCCCTAGATGAACAGAACAAATCTATTAGAAGTAGTTCTTGTGTACTGGTGAGCAGTAAGATCTTTGGAACCAGAGCATAGGCCTAAACCCCCAGAGGCTACTTCCCAGCTGTGTGATCTCAGTTAGGCTACCTTATCTGCACATCGATTTTTTTTTGTCTTTTTTTTTTTTTTTTTTTTTTTTTTGTCTTTTTGAGACAGGGTCTCACTATACAGTTCAGGCTGGCCTTGAGCTCATTCTGTAGCCGGGGCTGGTCTCGAACTCCTCCTTTCTCAGCTTCCCAAGGGCTGGAGTTGCAAGTGTTCACCACCACACCCGGCTGCACATCAAGAACGATGCTGTGGGGTTGGGGATTTAGCTCACGGCATAAGTCGTGAGTTCGATCCCTCGTACCGGTAAAAAGGAAAAAGACAAAAAAAAAAAAAATGATGCTGTGACTTTCTAGAGTTGGTTAAAGACTGAATCACATAACACAACAATCCCAGAACAGTACATAGAACATGAAGTACTAGCTATTTTATTACCATTATCTGGAAAATGATTGGGAGTTGATGCAATGAGGTAGTTCTAACACTGAAAAGAACAAGTGAGGGGCCAAGAGTCCTACATAAAATGGGCATGGTGGCACATAGCTACAACCCTAGCACTGGGGAGACTGAGGCAGGATGACTGCTGCAAATTTGAGGCCAGCTTATGCTACACAGTGAGTTCAAGGCCAGCCTGAACTACATAAGGTGATGCTATCTAAAAAAAAAAAAAAAAAAGCCTAAATGACAACTTAATGAACCATGAATCCTACTGTTAGACCCACAAAGGGCAGTGAAATGGAGGCAGTGCTCTTGGGCTCCCACCGGCAAACCTAAGAAAACTTTTTAAATTGATTATGGGCTTTTAATTGAACACAATGCTGCACACTGTAGAACTGGGTTACAATTCAAGAGTGTCCAGTCAGGAGGAAGTAACAGGGACTGATTCACCTTCTTTCCTTTAACAACAGAGGCCAGACAAAACTTGAGTGACATCTCAGGCCCCGTGGGTAGCAGGCAACAAGGGACAGCACATCCTGAGAGATGCACACGAGTCACCCAGGCACCTCTCCTGTGCAGAGGAACATCCCAGGAAGAGTTGGAGACATGGGCTGGGAAGGCCCGGACATCCAGAGTTTGCAGGGCAGGAACCCGAACAGAAAACAGTGGCACAGACTGCTCCAGGGTCCCCTAGGAGTCCCGGCTTGATAAACTGATGCAGAATGAGACAGGGCTAGGACACTTCCTCTTCCAAAAGTTAGAGCAGAAATCTCCCTTGCCAGGCAGGGAAGCCCAAAACAACTCTCAGAGGGTTTTGCCTCAACAGGGGGCCAAAAGCAGATATAGATGAATTATTAGTCCTGTCCCACCTGTCAAAGCAAGCCCTGCAAGGGTCAAACTGTGTCCAAACAACTGTACACAGGATAAAGCTCAACAATTTTTATAGGAGTAAAATATTACCTACCACCCAACAAGGCCCACTCTAGTAAAAGATAAACAGGAATGCAAAAAAGCAGGACAACCCCCTAATAAAGAGAGAAATCAGCCCACCGAAACTGACCCAGAGCTGTGCATAGTGGTGTACACCTGTAATCTCAGTTGTCAAGTAGCCGAGGCACCTGTAATCTCAGTTGTCAAGTAGCACCCCACCACGTCTGAGGCCAGCCTGAGCTACATAGAGAATTCAAGACCATACTAGCGAGGTTTTTCGTTAAAGAAGAAGGAGATGGAGGAAAAGGAAGAAGAAAGAGGAGGACGAGAAAGAGGCGGCGGAGGAGGAGGTAGAGGAGAAAGAGGAAGAAAGAATGAAAGACAGAAAGACAGACAGACAGACAGACAGACAGAAAGAAAGAAAGAAAGAAAAAAAGAAAGAAAGAAAGAAAGAAAAGAATAAATTGACCCAGAAATGAGATGTCAAGTAGACTCATTGTCAGTGTGGACACTCAAGGGAGTGAATTGTATTCTCTATGTTCAAGAAGCTAAAGAAGCCAGGGATATAGCTCAGTGGCACAAGTGCCTGCCTGGCAAGTGCAAGGTCCTGAGTTCAATTCCCAGCGCAAAAAAAAAAAAAAACAAGCTAAAGAAATAAGTTCAAGCATGTCAAAGAGAGGCACTGCAGAGACTCAGTTCAAATTCTAGAGAAAAACTACACCATCAGAGATTTCAACAGATTAGACAGCAGAAGCAAGGGTTAATGAACATGACAACAACAGGAACTTCACAAAAATGAGACAAAAAGGGACTGAAGATTTAGCTCAGCGGCATAAGCACCTGCCTTGCAAGCAGGCAGTTGTGAGTTCGATCCCCGGTACCGATAAAAAGGAAAAAAGAAAAAAAAAAAAAGAGAGAGACAAAAAGACAAAGAAAACCCCCAGAATATCAGGGTGCTGCGGGACAACACCAAATAGGCTAGCTGAAGGGGGTGGGGCATGTTAAAAATGGCCAAACTTTTACCCAAATTTACTGCAAACTACAAATGAGAGCTCTGTGGTACTCTGTGATTCCATGCATGCAGACATTAAAAATTTTTAAAAGC